AAGGTCAACTCTAATTTGAGGAGGCAACTCTTCCCTAGTCATATGTTAAGTGTCTCCCAACTCAGGGACTCATCTTCTGGCACTATCTCTGAAAACATTCTGGTGCTATTCGTCATGTTTCAGTATTCGATATTCTGGAGCTGACAGTGTTCCACTGCTATTCATATTCTTGGTGGTTAATAATTGTGAAAAGTAGTCTGTTTCTCCTTATTCCAAGTCTGTCTTAGTCTGGAAGCTCTGCTGAAACCTGTCCACTATGCGTAACCCTGCTGGTATTTAAAATATCAGAGGCATAGCCTCCCATCACAGCAACACGCAAACTACCACAGTTAGACAAACTGATAGATGAGTGATCTGGTAAAAATGTAAGCAGGTCTATTTTTCTTAAATAATTATAAAATCTCTCTAATAATATGAGTTGCAAGGTCCCATTAAGTTGTGAAACACAGCCAAAATTCATAAATTAAAATATCAAGGAAATATATACTAATCATCACTTTTCCATTTTTAACCAAAGGTAAAATTTCTCCCCCTTTTCATCTGGACCCTGCCAAAAGTGAGAAGAGTTGGCTATGATCTGATTCTTTTTTCTTCTTCCTTCATGTCCTCTCTAACTTACTCTCTGCTCCCTCCTCTAGGGTAGCTGGAGGGAGGAGGAAGGATCAGAGATGTAGAAACATTTTTATCTGATCAGCACACTGTCATAAGTGAGCATCGTGATTCCATGGCTAACAAGGTGTTTACAGTTATCCCTTAGTGGCAATGAAGGATAAGCAATGGACTGCTAACTCCACACTCGGCAGTTCAACCCCACCAGCCATTCCCAAGAAGACAGATGTTGAGGCTGTCTGTTCCCATGGTTATTTACAGCATTGGAAATCCTATACATGGTCGTAAGGAGTTGGTATCAATTCAATAGCATAGGGTTGGTTTGGTTCTGCTTTTATGAGGCACCACCACTGACTTTTCAGGGACCTTCCTGCTTTAGAAACCTCTCACCTGTATATTCTTGTCTTTATTAATATGAGTGGCTTCAGAAAGTTCATGGAAATATTGAGTCAATAGATAACATGATTTTCTCACAAACATTTTGAAGTCCCCTCATTGTTCTCTCTAGTCTAGTAGATTGCTTCTTCTCGCTGTTGTTGTCATGAGTTGCAGTCACATTGACTCTGACTCATGGAGACCCCAGGTGTGCAGAGCAGAACTGTTCCTTAGGATTTTCAAGGCTGTGCTTTTTGGGGAGCAGATCACCAGGCCTCTCTTCCAAGACCTCTGGGTGTGTTCAAACTGCTAACCTTTCATCATATAGTAGTGTGCTCATCTCGATTCATTGGAAATCCAAGAATTCACCTTCAGCTTCTGTAGGCAGACTCCCTCTACGTGATCGGGTGCAATTTTGGACAAGACCTAAGACAACACATGTGGGAAAGGCACGCCTTGGGAAACTGCCAGACTCCTGACAACGTAGCCTTTCCGTCTCGTTCCTTCTGAAGCTGCCAGCTAGCCTGCCTTTTCCAGACAAGAGTCATACCCAGACCACTGTGTCCCACAACCTCAGGGACATGCATCAAGCTCTCCGCTGGTCTTAGTGAAGCCCTCTTTGTTGACTTGTGAATAGGAAGCCTCCCCTCTCTCCTCACCTCTTGCCCTGGGACAAGGCATGGTATGCAATAAACTAACAATCTTTCCTAAAAATCCATCTCTTCTCCTGACTTGCGACATGGATGAAAGATTTAAGAGTTGATTAATCGGTCCTCAGCCACCTTTCTTTTTTCTTTTTCTTTTTTTAAAAGTTCTTCAGGGTGGTCTGTTTCCAGATCACTTTGGAATCTTATATCTGTCATCTTTAAATCTCGGCCAACATTTCCATTTTAACATTCTGTCACGTGTATTAGCCTTAAATTCATTCATTCGGTAGACGTTTCCTGAGTACATATGATATACCAGATGCTGAGTTTGGCAGTGGGAATAATTATAACAATTCCTGCCTTAAGGAGCTCACAATCTAGTTGGGGAGGCCATTGTGTTAACAAAAAATGATAGTACCACATCACAAATGCTATGATGGATGGAAATACAAGTTGCTGCCACAACAAATACCATACTCTCGCAGGGCAGACATTGGGATGAGTCAGAAAAGTCGATATTGTTAAATCTGTAGTGTTTGAGAAACAAAATAAATAGCTTCTTCTTAAGCCTCTGAAATCTTTATGGCTTGTGTTTTTTTCTGACTAATTTCTTGTAAAAACATACCCAAGGTAATTTGAATAAAGAAGAAATGACTGCATGATGTCTGTCATTTGTTCACATATCTGTTATGATGGGGAAGGGAAGTAGCATTTATGAAGCACCTTCTTAATACAAAAGAACCCTGGTGGAACTCTGGGATAAGCATTGGGTTGCTAACCACAAGGTCTGCAGTTCAAACCCACCAGCAGCTCTGCAGGAGAAAGATGAGTCTGTCGTCCCCCATCAAGATTTATAATCTCAGAAACCTTACATTTAGGGATTGCAATGGGCTGCCAAAAGAACCAATAAATCCATTTTTGGAAGAAGCACAGCCAGAGTGTTCCTTGGAGGCCAGGATGGCCAAACTTCTTCTCTCATACTTTGGTCATATTGTCAGGAGGGACAAGTCACTGGAGAAGGATATCATGTTTGGTAAGGTGGAGGGTCAGAGAAAACGAGGATGACCCCCAACAAGATGGATTGGCCAAGTGGCAGCATTGATGGGCTGAAGTGTGGCAACACTTGTGAGGTTGGGCCAGGATTGGGCAGTGTTTTGTTCTGCTGTGCATAGGGTTGCTATGAGTTGGTATCAACTCGATGGCACCTAACAACAACATGAGTCAGAATTGATTTTATGGAAGTGGGTTTGGTTTGGTTTCTGGAATACAGGTGCCATGAAGGCAGTCCTATAATGTCTTCTAAAGTCTGGGACCAAAGCAGAACTAGGAGGAATATTCTCAAAGAGCATTGTCAAGAGTCACAGACATAATGACCCCAGCAAGAACAGGCAAGGTTACTAAAAGCCCAGCTGAGTAGGCCAACTGAAGGAAGAAGCAAGGACCAAATAAGAGAATGAGTAGCCAAATTGGTGGTGAGGATTTCTGAGACCATCCCAGCAAGACATGGGCTTGTTTTAAGAGAATCAGAACTTAAGCTATAGAGAAATTGTAGTGACACATACAGGGGGGAGCAGAGCTCTTAAAGCCTCTGTTCAGTTGAACAGCAGCAACCTCATGAAGATGTGTTTAGCAGTCAGTCCTTCACAAAATGGCCCCAGACTGCCCCTTTGAGCTCTTGTCTTTTTTCCCTAATTTCCTTTTGAGTTTTTCATAATTTTTTAATTTCCTCCCTATGTAAGGCTTCCATTTCTTGCTACAGTCAGTGTGTTTGCTGCTCTCAGCATCTTTGATCTTTCAGTCAGCAATTTTAAATCCACTGAGGACAAGGAAAGGAGATAACTCCTGCAAAATGTTCATGTCATCTTCAGGTGAAAAGTCGGGAGAGCAATCTAACTGGAGAGAAAATTTGCATAACTGATTGTTGTTGCTGTTAAGTGCCTTCAAGTCAGTTCTGACTCATAGCGACCCTGTTATAGGGTTTTTGAGGAGCATCTGGTGAGCTTGAACTGCGAACCTTGCAGTTCAAACTGACTTTTCAGTCCAGCATATTAACCCATAGTGCAAACAGCTTATCAGGTTACCTAACATATGAATAACTATTGAAAATATGTCATATATATGTCTCTAATATAGTACTGGTGCGGTGGTATAGAATAAGCACAAGACTTCAGAGTTGTTTTGCACCACAAGATCAGTAGTTCAAACCCACCAGTCACTCATCAGTAACCCTATACAGGGTCACTATGAGTTGGAACCAACTTGATGCCACTTAACAACAGTATATGAAGTACTCCAAAAAAAAAAAAAAAAAGAGGGTGTGTCTTATGCACATTTACATTCCTAGCACAGTTCTGGTACATAGTAAGTAATTAATAAATTAATAGGAAGTTATGCATATTTGACCTGAGTGATTTCATCTTTGACAATAAAAATTCGATAGCTGTTTCTAAAACAAGAGCCTATTCTGAGGAACTTTGTCATGCTATTGCTTGTAATCCTCCCTTGTGATATCTGTCGGACCCCAAAATGAGGGTTCACTCCATTCCCCGTTTCTCATGGCTTTAACAACCCCAAGAGACTGCCCAAGGAAACCTAACCCTTCCATTCACATAGTGGCACAAACACAATCCCTGGCTGAACTTCATGCTGTATGCACCAGACCACATCCATCCAGACACCACGACTTGTTGTCTGCCCAAGAGTCCTGCTGTAAATACAAGAATGTCCTGAAGCCACATACCAGAACTCAAGTCAATTAGATTCAGCCCAAAGGTCTCCCGTCTGGACTTAAAACTTCATAGACTTCTGGGAAAAGAGCTGAATGCGAAATGAAGTGGTCTTAATATTTTATCTTAAAGTACAAGTGCAATGTGGGTTCCATTCAATTAGTTTATCTTAATCTTTAGCAGACAGTGAGCTCAGTGGCTGATTATATTTCTGTCTTATGCCCTAATAGTGTCCTAACAGTGAGGAGGAGAAATAGTTCCTTCCTGATCGTCCCTGTGAGGCATCACAGAAGCGCTTTGCCTTCTGGGTTGTTTATACATTGAAGTCTTTGATACACAACTGCTTATTAAGCCCAGGCTGTGTGGTCAGAAATGTAACCTCAAGTGCTCATTGGGTTTGATCCTTATTACCAAAGAAAAAAAAATTAAAAAAAAAAAACAAACTATTTGTTGTCGTTAAGTGCCATCAAGTCAGTTACGACCCATAGCAATCCTGTATAGGGGTTTTCAATGAGCGGCTGGTGAGCTATGGACCATGTCTTATGGAGAAGTAAATTCTAATTGGAATGGTCTTGCTTATGGCAAACTTCAATCGGGTTTTGGCATCCCATCTCAACTCTCTCGTCTGTTTGTTACTTAACAGGAGGCAATGGCAAGAATGAGCAAAATTGGAAAAGTTGTGTTCCCCAGATGTGAGGATAAAAGGTAAGTTTATATTTTTTTTCTTCTTCTTCTCATATGAACAGTGAGCTAAGGAAAGCTGTTGTTGTTAAGTGCCATTGAGTCAGTAACGACTCATAGTGACCCTATGCACAACAGAACAAAACACTACCCAGTTTTGAGCCAACCTCACAGTCGTTGCTACGCCAGAGCCCATTGCTTCTACCACTATGCCAATCCATCTCATTGGGGTCTTCCTCTTTTTCTTCCACCCTCCACTTTACCAAATATGATATCCTTCTCCAATGACTGGTCCCTTCTGATAATATGTCCGAAGTATGAGAAGCAAAGTCTGGTCATCCTGACTTCCAAAGAGCATTCTGGCTGTATTTCTTCCTGAATAGATCTATTTGTTCTTTTGGCGGCCCATGGTACTTTCGACATTCTCCTCCAACAGCATAACTCAAATTCATCAATCTTTCTGCTGTCTTCCTTATTCACTGTCCAACTTTCACATGCATATGAGGTTATTGAAAGTACCATGGCTTGGGTCAGGCGCACCTTAGTCATCAAACTGACATCTTTGCTCTTGAACACTTTAAAGGGGTCTTGTAAAGCAAATTTGCCCAATGCAATACGTCGTTTTATTTCTTGACTGCAGTTTCTATGAGTGTTGATGGTTGAGCTAAGCAAAAGGAAGTCTTTGACAACTTCAATCTTTTCGCCACTTATGTACATGTTGTTTATTGGCCCAGTGGCGAGGATTTTTGTTTTCTTTACGTTGAGATGCAACCCATAACAAACTCTGTGGTCTTTGATCTTCATCGATAAGTATTTTAAGTCCTCTTTGCTTTCAGCAAGCAAGGTTGTATCAACTGCATATCACAGGTTATTACGATTCTTCCTCCAATTCTGATGCCATGTTTTTCTTTATATAACCCAGCTTCTTGGATTATTTGGGCAGCGGTAGTGAGGTTGGACCAGGATCGGACATTGTTTAGTTCTGCTGTGCATGGGGTCGCTATGAGTCGGTTCCAACTCGATGGCACCTGACAACAACAACAATATATAGATTGCCAAAAGAACCAATAGACCCATTTTGGAAGATGTGCAGCCAGAGTGCTTCTTGGAGGCCAAGATGGCCAAACATGGTCTCTCATACTTCAGACATATTGTCAGGAGGGACCAGTCACTGGAGAAGGATATCATGCTTGGTAAGATGGAGGATCAGAGAAAAAGAGGAATCCCCAACAAGATGGATTGGCCAGGTGGTAGCATAGATGGTCTCAAGTGTGGCAACTGTAGTAAGGTTGGTGCAGGATCGGGTAGTGTTTCGTTCTGCTGTGCATAAGGTTGCTATGAGTCAGTACCGACTCAATGGCACCTAACAACAACAACAGCATAAAGATTGAATAAGTATGGTGAAAGAATACAAGCTTGGTGCACACCTCTCCTGATTTTAAACTATTCGGTGTTCCTTTGTTCTGTTCAAATGACTGCCTCTTGGTCTATGTACAGACTCCTCATGAGCACAATTTAGTGTTCAGGAATATTCATTCTCCACAATGTTGTCCATAGCTATCATGATCCTCACAGTCAAAAGTATTTTCATAGTCAATAAAGCACATTATTGTGCTTATGTGACCCTAGAGTGATTCCATAGATGTTCAAAAACATCTTTCTGGTATTCTCTGCTTTCAGCCAAGACCCATCTGATATCAGCAATGGTATTCCTGTTCCATGTCCTCTTCTGAATCCAGCTTGACCTTCTGGAACTTTTCTGTCAACATATGGTTACATCTGATGTTGTATTATCTTTAGAAAAATCTTACTTGCATGCACTATTAATGATATTGTCCAATGATTTTCAAATTCCATTGAGTCACCTCTCTTTGGAATGGACACAAATATGGGTCTCTTTCAGTCAGTTAGCCAGGCACTTAGTTGTCTTCTAACTTTCTTGGCATAAATGAGTGAGTTCCTCCAGTGTTGCATCAGTTTGTTGAAAGATTTCTATTTGTATTCCATCTATTCCTGGTGCCTTGTTCTTTGCCAATGCCTTCAATGCACCTTGGACTTCTTTATTCAGTATCTCTGGGTCTTGATCATAAGTGCTAAGGAATAAGAACATATAAACACATGCAGCTATAGAGCTGAAACAAACCTTGGAGATCACCTAATGTAATCCTTTCATTTAATAGTTGTTGTTGTTGTTGTTGTTGTTAAGTGCCGTCGAGTCAGTTCAGACCCATAGCGACCCTGTACAGGGTTTCTGAGGGTGTAAATCTTTACGGGAGTAGAAAGCCTCATCTTTCTCCCGCGGAGCAGCTGGTAGTTTCGAACCGCTGACCTTAAGGTTCGTAGCCCGATTCGTAACCACTACGCTACCAGAGCTCCTTTTCAGTAGAAAAAACTAAATTACAGCGATTACAAATCTACAGATGTAGGTAGAGCTAGAGTAGGGAGGAGGTTGTTGTTGTTAAGTACCGTGTAGTTGGTTCCGACTCATAGTGACCTTATACAGGGTCTCCGAGGCTGTAAGTCTTTAAAGGAGCGGAAAGTCTCATCTTTCTCCTGTGGAACAGCTGGTAGTTTCAAACTTCTGACTGTGAGATTAGCAGCCCTATTCATTACCACTAGGCTACGAGAGGTGGGTAGGGAATGTCAAACAAGCTTCTGAACCCTCAAATTATTTTACCCAAATTATTAGCAATAAATTCATTCTTCTCTATTATCTAAAAGCTGAGGTTCTCTCTTAAGAGTGGGCTTCAAAAAAGCTCATGGGACAATTTCATTATTTTTCAATTCCATTTTTCCATGAACTTTTTGAAGCCCCTTCATATCTTTCATCAAAGGACACAGTACCACTTGTCCATTCTTCTGTCCTTTGTATCACTTGGTATTGAGGGCTACAACTTGACGTTGATCAGTGTTTAAACCCCAATTCATTAAAACTTTTCAAAAAATATTAAATAATTGAGCTCTTGCTAAATATGTCATTATGCTCAGCTATAGGCAGGATTTAGAGGGTAATAAGATAGAGTCTTATTCATACAAATAGATCATTTAAAAACAAAGGGATAAGTTCTACTGGAAGTATATGTTGTTGTTGTTGTTGAGTATCACTGAGTCAGTTCTGACCCATAGCAACCATGTTTAAGGTTTCCAAGGAGTGACTAGTGGGTTTGAACTGCCAACCTTGTGATTTAAACTGACCTTGAGGTCCAGTGCATTTTCCTGCAGCACCATATCAGGTGACAAAATAGCTCAGAACAGAATAGGCTCTAACCCAGTAGAGGTAAAGGAAAGTTTCTGACGTGAGGTTAAGTCTAAACTGACTTTTAATGCTTAAAAGAAAATGCCAGGCAGACCATGGCTGGGAAAGACCTTCTAAGTAGAGGGAATGTTATTGTTGTTGTTGTTATGTGCCATGGAGTCAGTTCCGACCTATAGCGACCCTGTACAGGGTTTCCAAGGCTGTAAATCTTTACAGGAGCAGAAAGCCTCATCTTTCTCCCGCGGAACAGCTGGTAGTTTCGAACTGTTGACCTTGCAGTTCACAGCCCGATTTCGTAACCACTAGAGGGAATAACATATGCAAAATCATGAAGGTATGTTAGTCATCTTACAATTTTGAAACACAAAATATGAAATCAGGAATGACAAGAAATAAGATTGAGAAGGTTGAAGGGGAGTGGACAGTTCATAAAGGACTTTGAAACCATACTGGTGGTGGTGGTGATGTGCCGTGGAGTTGGTTCCAACTCATAGTGACCCTGTACAGGGTTTCCAAAGCTGTAAATCTTTACGGGAGCAGAAAGCCTCATCTCTCCTGCGGAACAGCTGGTAGTTTCGTACTGCTGACCTTAAGGTTCTCAGCCCGATTCGTAACCACTAAGCTACCAGAGAAACCATGCTAAAGCTCACAAATTCCATCCTACAGGCAAAATGGAGATGCTGGCTATGAAGCCACGGTGAGACTTCTCAAACCTGGCTTTTAGTTAACACCCCTGCAGTCCTGGTGTGGCACTGCGGGTTAATGTGCTGGACTGCAAGGTCAGTGTGAACTACGAAAACCCTATAGAGGGTCACCATGAGTTGGAAAGGACTCAATGGCATTTAACAACAACAACAGCAATAGCTTAGAGGATGGGCTAGAAGGATTGAGGGTAGAAGTAGAGAGACTAGATGGGTAACTTTTTTAATAACCCAGGTTGAATTTTAAAAAGATCTAACCACTAGTTTGAAGAGGAAGGGACAGTTGTACAAGTCTTTTTATAATTATAGGAACGTATTTGAGGTTAAGACATAAATGCAGATTCCCAGAAAGTTTTTCAAAAAAGAATCATTGCAGCTTTGCTTGCACACCTAAGAAATACAATGATTCTCATCATCCATCTGTTATTGTTGCTAGGAAAGGGAGAATTAAAGACAGTGAGTGAAGTCTGTATATCCCCCGTACTTAACAAAGCTTTCTGAACACCTAAGCGTCAGATGAGCCCCAAACATGTCTCATACGTGTCTGACCCTGTGCAGGAACTGGATTAGAAAGATGACTGCTACTCTGTCTACACCTTCATAATGTTCCCAGTAAGAACTTCCAACCAAGAGAAACTGCCTCATCACCAAATCTTCAAGTGTCCACTGAGTTCCTAAGTTGGAAAATATACCTAATATTTGTTGTTAAGTGCTGTCGAGTCAATTCTGACCCACAGCGACCCTGTATAGGGTTTCCAAGGAGCAGCTGGTGAGCTTGAACCACCAACCTTGCAGTTCAAATGACTTTGCAGTCTGACGCATTAACCCACATTGCCACACCAGGAGTCGATACCTCATATAATGGACTAGAAATAGATTCACATGAGTGAGGCAGATTTTTCACCAAAATATGGTCAATAGGCAGATGGGCATTTGACAAAGTTGGAAATGCCCTTGGAGACAGAAATCCAATTTCTTTTCATTTTCTTCTTTAACTCGAGTGGAATTAGACCATTCACCAGCTGAATGTAAGCCTCTCTCTAAATGCTGAAGTCAAAGAAGCAGGC